CTGCAGACTCAAAAGTTAGAACTACATACTCAATAAATAGTACCATGTAAAAGTACTGCAGAAGAGATTTCATTTGAATGGTAACACCATAGGATTTCGTCCACAGATTCAAAAGTTAGAACAACATACTAAATAAATAGTAGTTGTTGTTTTGCTTATTAAACCTGTTGCTTTTTTGACGTTCTCGGCCGCCATCGCGTCGTCCGATCTAAAAGTCCCTAATGAATGACCAGTGAAGTCTCACTTTCGAAGCCAATATAGAAGGTGTGAGCTTGCAATGTACTAACCTTCATGTTTCTCTTTTCAGCGCTCGGTTCCCAAGACTTTCGACAAATCAATGTCAAATCTTCAAAACAAGGTACTTAGCGAATCAATGATTTGGAGATCAGTCGCATATTAACATTATAACTAAACTGACTAAAAAAAGAACCCAGCGAACTTTTACAACACCAGACGATTGTTTCAGTAAAGTGCACATGAGTGATGAGTTTCATGAATGGGTCACTTACACGACGACGTCATTTTAGTACTACTACAACCAGAATCCTTCAGGGTTTTGCTTTCTTGTGCAAATTAGGGCTTATGTTATATAAACCTCACTGGGAGTACTAAATGTAAATATAAGAGGAAATTCAAAAAGGATTCCGCTAATCGTAGTAGTAAATGACGCCATCGTGCCAAACCTGAACAATCACGTCTTACAATTGTGGGTATCTTGGATGTCAACCAGTTACATTTACGATTTGCCTTCAGTTTTAAGCAAGTTACAGTAGAAGCGTCCCTCACGAAGAACTCTGTCCTTGCTCCGGTCTTACAGAAACACTGTAATTTTGTTTTTTGTTCTTTAATAAGAAAGCAAACATAAGCATAAGCTTGAGTCGTAGTTTCTGACAACGCAACATCTTTTGTCAACTAGACTGTTTACAGTCCCCTACTTTTTCTTTGGATCGTCAGGATCGAGCGCTCACCGGTACGGTCGGGCGGCCGTTTTGGTTTCATATATACACCGGTTTCGGGCGTCGGGTTAGATTTGACACTCATCCAAGATGGCCGCCCTTAACGCAAAGCGCTCGATCTCGACGAACTCATGGGAAAACAGGGGAATGTGAACAGTCTGTTCGTTAACTTAGGACTCGTTTTTAATGAGTTTATCACAGCGATGTCAAAACTCCTGAAGTTTTTTACTATTGTATTATATTTTATTTTACTCATTATTTTTGGGGTCTGAAGAGAGGAATGTTATTTTCTTTGTCAAGATTGCGGATAAAAAGAAGGCAATCAAAGAGATCAAGAAAGAGGTTAAAGGATTGAAGATTCAAGTTAAGGAAAGCAAAGATGACAAAACGAGAAAGTAGGTGAAAAATATGACAGATCGCAATTTATTTACTTATAGAACATTTAATTACCTACCGTTCAAGGTGCAAAGAAAATCATTTTTACAGCTTGCCATTCAGGCAAGCTGAAGCTAACATTTACTAGCCCAGACGTCATTTCAACCAGCCCCAAAAGCTTTTTGAAGAGCAGAATTGATTCCACAGTTCTTCTGTTATTCGAATTCGTCAAAAAACGTCACTTGCCCGTCGGGCAAGTTAGAAACAGAATTCGCTAGCCCCATAGCAAAATCCACTAGCCCCGGGCTATCGGACACGACTTTCTTTGCACGCTTTGCTTCTTTACAAGGGCCTTGTACATGTAGCCAGAGAATTTAAATATGCGGTTCCCGATTTCGGTCAACCGGTTTTCGACCGGGCTTTGGCCGACACCGAAGCA